TGTCCAGGTATTATCTGTATACCAGGTATTATCTGTATATACGTAGCCTGAGTGCTGTCCTAATCCGAAGTTACCATCGGCCGCGGCGGCTTCCTTTGTACCACAGAACCACAGAGAAAGAGACGTCAGTATATTACGGATGATACCCATGGGCTCGATAGACTCCCATCTGTTCTGTAAGTTGTGCACCATTTGTGACACTTGTAACGTTTATTACGTTGGCATGTGTTATATATACGGCAAACGATGCGTATAACTTATATACATGTACACGTGTACAATTAACTACTGTTGGAAGTTGCCTGTAAGCTACAGCCTTTAAACTGAAATCTACATTGAATCCTGAAAGTTTTACCAATGTTCTTTGTCAAAGAATAAGATACCTGCATATCATCAACGATGAGATCCTGAGCAGGGCCATGTCCAAGCCTCTGAGTACCATCATAACAGAGAAAAGGATGCAGCTGGCAGGACATATCCTCCGTCTGCCCAGCAGAAGGCACTCTAAGACAGCGATGACTTGGGTACCCCACAACGGCAGAAGAAAGAGGGGAAGGCCGAAACACACCTGGCGCAGGACCTTCCAAGACGATCTAAGAAGGGCAAACATCCCCTGGGAGGAGGCGGAGACAGTGGCCGCTGACAAAAAGAAGTGGAAGCTTGCTGCCCGATGTGCCATTGGCACAGGAGGAACTAAGGTCTAAGGTAAGGTAATTTGGTCCAATCTTACCATTTCCAAAGTCACACAGTACGGACACCTCGCATTCCGCACGTTTTATTACGGTTGACATTGTACCGGTATATCCAACTTGGCTCCCTCCTTGTGCAAACTCAGTGAAAACCTAGCCAGCTGACAACGCCGCTATCGTCTTATTGCATGGAGCTACGTCCGTGCTCTCCTATTTTCTTGTCTGTTCAAGAGTTTGGGGGTCAATCATTACCATGCTTTATATACTGTAAAATACGGAAAATCCATTTTAAAAAGCCCGCCACGTAACTAGCATTTAAGTCGGCATCTTCCAACATCCAGCAAAGGTGTGGTCACAACGCGAGTCTTACTTGTACAAAATAAACTTACCCAAAGTCTTGTGATACTCTGTTTGAGTCACGTTTTTCCGCACTTTGTTTTATAAAGACAACGATGAAGTATTTATTCAGGCTGCAATGTTTTTTTTTACTTCTCCGTTGAGTTCCTCCCCAGCATAGCAATGAGACCCACCGCCAAGCAAACATTACCTCATGGTTTTCAATCCTTGCTGGGATAGGCCGGAGTCGGCACACACAGAGAGTGTGCGTGTTTGCAAGGGGTGAAAGTTTTTCCGGTGGAGCGGACGTGATATCCCTCAGAAACGGATTATTCAAAACCGCTTCATGAGGCGATCTTTTTGCCGTCATTTTGTCGGTGAGTAATCCTAGTTTATTGCCCGTTGATGAATGTAGGGGAAGCCAGCGATCATTTGTGTATAGCCGAATATGGCTAAGAAATGAAATTCAATGTACAATGTAGTTAGTAACGTTACAGAGGTCGTGGTTACTAGAATTTACTCCGCCCGAGGCCTGCAAGGTTGCGTTTCATTTCTGGAACCACGTAACATACTGCAGGGAACCTACAAATGGCAGTCACTGTTTCTGGATAGATTCAGCAATGTCTGTTATGTATCCCGATCGTTCCAGAAATCTACTTGTTGGGTATACTATTATTAAGGGGTGAGGCCGGGCGAGACTATCCTCCAAATCGGGAGGTCTGTTTCCCATCTTTTTGTACGGACGTGGCCGAATTTGAAATATTGCGGTCTGATGAATAGGCAGTTGGGATGTCTGCCACAGCAACCCTGCAATGCACAATGTTTTGTATATTTTGTTTGCAGTCCGCAAACCCACCCAGCAGATGTTACTAGTGTTCGTGAATGTATGTGACAGTCCTGACATCCTTTTCTTCTAATGACAGTATTTAGGGCAGGGGGTCAAACACGTACACCGGGAAAACAGGAAGTTGCCTTCAGCCAACCAGAACAGTCCCCGATGCCTTCAACATCCAGCCCCTTTAATAATAGACCACATTTGACACAATTTATCCAAGGAGGTTAAACAGGTCATTTCTTGTGTTGAGCGTCTTTTTTATAACCCCCATTAAAACTGAGGGATTGTTTTTGGTCTTCACAAATTCTATGGTCAGCACAACTTGGATGGAGTGTGATATTTGGTATAAGAAGATATATCAAGAAAGGAAGAACCATTTCAGATTTTCATGATTTTGGCATGTAGGTAGCTTAGACAGATATGTATACAATTTGATACAAATTATGCAAATGAGGATTTGATTTGCATGATTAATGAGAAAATTCTGCAATTCCTGTGTTTCACAAAATATTGACTTAATAATGTAATATATGTGATCTATGGCAGTTGGAACATTAACAATAATAACAAATACCAATTATGCAAATAAGGGCCACATTTGCATAAAGTATGAAAGTGACATGATCCATTAGTCATAAATGATGGGAATTTCACAATTATGATAGTTGTGCATAGATTATGTGCATGTGGAAGAGTAATTATTGCATGTGTAGAGAAATGGAATGAAAGATGATGCATTTACTTACAAACGGGGGCCTCTCTAGTTTTGTTTATTAATTGATTACGATAAAAGACAATAAAATAAGACATTACAAAAATTCAAATCTCACGGAGGTATAAGATCTTTGAACTCTTGTTCACTCAGCATTGAGGGCAAGGTTTAACCTTTCTGGACATTACAATGGCAGCATGAGATGACATCATCAGTCAGGCATGTACTTGGCTACTAACATTGAAAGGTCATGCAAAAGACTCTCACTGAACCCACTGCCAACTAATGTACAGTCAGATAATTTGTGGACAAACCAAAGTGGTACATGACAGTTTATGCTAAGAAGAAATGTAACCTTCCCAACCTTGCAGCAGATTGGGTGTAACATGATGAAATAATGGCCTCCTCAGATGTTGATTTTGGTGTGTTTGTGTATATGTTTTTCCGTGCAACATGTTCTTGACCTAATATTTGCTGTGAGTGCATTGTTATATTTGGCAGGTGGTCTTGGGACCATGAAGGTGAAAGTCTAATTTGGGCCAGTTGATACTGTAGCAGATGTTGCATGTTCTTTCTGTAACGTTAAATCTTCTATTCTGATAATAACACTGACATTGACATTTTGGGGGGAAGGATAGCTTTCATGGTTAGGAAGAAATGGTAAGCTGAACACCAGCCTGGTCACAGGAAAAAATGTAACTGTTGTTGAAAGTTAAAAAATAGTTAAAAGCTGCTGTGGGTCAAGTTGTCATCCATGTAGCATGGCCAGATTAGACCGGTCGTCTTTCCTTTCCTACCATTACACCAGCTGGGTCCAGCTGGTCTCCATAACGGCACGAAGCATTCTAAAAAATGCCCAGCCCTACTGAGGAGTTAAAAACTTCACCATTCAATTTAGGGGTCAAAATGTGACCTTGGAGAGGGAAAAATTATAGATCATCAAGATATAGCCAAATAACTAACACATCTGACAGTTTTGTTTTTTTGTAGATCTTTATTTTCAGTTTTGGCTCAGCCACCCCAGAGCTTTTTAAGTTACTAGTATGATGATGTGTCTAAGATGGGTGCCTGCATGCTCTTTACTGTAATAACATAATCAGCCATTTTTATTCTATATAATTTGATCATTAACTGGACCCCATGAGGCCCCCAGGATGACTTCCCACTATGGAGATAGATATCTTTTATATGAGTCTGATGAGAAAGCTTTAAATCATTTGGTTCTCTTGTTGCAGCAGAGGAGCAGTAATACCTTAGGAGAGAGGCTGCAACTTGAGACAGCAGAATGTCAGAGCTGGACTCTGAGACATACCTCCAGTTTCTACTGGACCTGACCAACCTCATCACAGCAGACGACTTAGAGCAGTTCAAGATGGCCTGTAAGGATGACATACCGGAGGAAAAAGTGCCAGAACTGAAGACCCCTCGGGACTGGTTCATGTTCCTGGAGAAGATTGAGAAGCTGGCTCAAGGTCAGGTCATTGCAAGAACTCTGTTTGACATGAAATTCTGTGATATCACAAGCTACCATTAATCACATTTCAAGAGGTAATGTTTTCTTGTGTGGGTGCCAGCCTGCATTGTTTGTTTGTTTCTAGTTTTTGATTTTTATTCATGAAATATTCCAATCTTTTAATTGAGATCATGAGGGAAGAGGTTGGAGTCAGGCAAAATATAACATATAAGTTACTGACAGCACAACACGCCCCATGTGTAGCAACTCAAAAACATGGGGGCATAAGTTGTAAGTGTCTCAAATGTTTTGAAGTTTCGTACAGTGGGACAGACAGTCGCCATTTAGTATCAGTCCAACAGGATAACATGACAAAAGATACACTGTGACCATCCATGTTCCTGGTACTGAACACCATTCTAACATCTACTCCTGTCCCTAAACCATACTGCAGGCCCACACATCCATCCCTGCCCCTGGTGCTGAACAACATTCACACACCCATCCCTGTCCTTGGTGCTGACCAAAATTTACACATCCATCCCTCTCCTTAGCCCTGACCAAAATTTACACATCCATGCCTGCCCCAAGTGCTGAACAATATTCACACATCCATTCCTGTCCCTGGTGCTGAACAACATTCACACATCTATCCCAGCCCCTGGTGCTGAACAATATTTACACATCCATTCCTGTCCCTGGTGCTGAACAATATTTACACATCCATTCCTGTCCCTGGTGCTGAACAATATTTACACATTCAACCCTGTCTCTGAACAACATTCACACATCCATCCCTGTCCCTGGTGCTGAACAATATTCACACATCCATCCCTGTCCCTGAACAAAATTCACACATCCATGCCTGTCCCTGGTGCTGAACAACATCCACACAACCATTCCTGCCCTTGGTGCTGACCAAAATTCGCACATTCATCCCTGTCCCTTGTGCTGAACAATATTTACACATCCAACCCTGTCCCTGGTGCTGAACAACATTCACACATCCATTCCTGTCCTTGGTACTGAACAGTATTCACACATCCATCCCTGTCCTTGGTGTTGACCAAAATTCACACACCCATCCCTTAGCCTCGTGGGACCTTATGTTATTCCCACTGTGTATTTGTCATTGATTCCATCGCAGTTAGCCAGTGTTTACACGATCTCTTGCTGGCTGGGGTTAATTGACACCCTCCCCTGTGGGGCAGTATCTGTCAGATGAGCTGGCCTCTAGGAAGATGATTTAGTCAGGCTACATCACAATCTGGTGGAACATGATAATGAAGTCCAAGCAGATATCATGGATTGTGTATCAGAGAATGGTTTAGTCAGAAAACATTACAATCGCCTGTTCCAACATCTCCAGCTTGGAGATGAGGCAGGTAATCTCTGATTCCTGTAAGAACAGCTAACCCCCCCAGGTAGACGTGCTGTGCTTAGAAGCACTACTGGTAATGTTACAGGCAACAGGATTGGCTCTCAGACCCCAGAGAGCTAGAATTGGCTTTGCTGTTGGAGGTGGAATGGATTTATTTTAACCTCGTAAGGACAGATTAAAGCTAACTGCAGAGGAAAGTATAGGGCTTGCTTAATAGCTTGCTTTGGAACCTTTCCCACATCCTTTGCACATGTAAAACCTTTGATAGTGCAAGAACTACTTACCTCTGGTAGGCTACCGGTAATGGTGAATGTGGTTTTACATTGAAACCTTCACATTTACATTAGTCATACATTTAATCTACAACATAGGTCAGTAATACAGTGAATTCATTTCATTTCATGGAGATTAAATTTCATGGTAGAAGGGGAAAATTACATTTTGGCAGTATTTTAGGTATGCAGTCAAAGCATATTTGTAGCACAATTATCTTATACGGTACTAATACATGTACATTGAAAATGTATATTTGCAGTGTTGTGCATTTGCTGTCACCATGAAAACTGATAAATAAAACTACTTCAAGAGTTGTGTACAATGATTATGTATATTGAATATTGAACCTTGCAAAGCATTTCTATGCCTGATATTTTATCAACTGGTTAAACAGATGTTGAAAAAATAAAGCAGATTTGCTATTCAGAATTATCAATGTCACTGCCGTTAATAGAAATGTTGCAAGTATTCCTTTTAATGGCCTATCCGCTAGCTTGAGTGTGAAATCCATTTGTCCTGAAGCAATAGACTGAGTGCTTTGCATACAGCAATAACTAAAGCCCTCTCCCCAGGTGTTATGCCAAGCACTTAAGAAACCTATCGTAAGTGACATTTACGCAGTGGTGTAAAGTGCATATATTGACTGATCGGCCCTTCATTTCAATACAGTGGTGTGACTCTAAAAAGTTGCACACTTTGTATTGAAGAGCCTAGACATGCTAAAAATGTAGATTGCTACTTCCCTCATCTCTGTAATATCAATATACATTGTAATATCTAATTATAATGTAAAATCAATAAACCACCTTGTAAAATGCATCCAAAGAGATCCCCAGTATGATGCACATACTGTATAATCTATATTATCTAGTTTGTCCAAATGGTGGATATCTGTATGCTGGTGGATAAATGTTAAATGACACAGCATAATTTGCAATTTCACATGCACATACAAAAGCAAACCAATCAGCAGGAATTATATAAGCAGCCATTTCCGTAATCCTAATGTGCATACTTTATTTGTTTATTCGTTATAATTATAATCTGCATGCCATTACACTCAATTGGGCTTCAGGAAAAATGTTTTTAAATGTAGTCATCTCCTTCAAGGACAAACACAAAGTCTTATTACCAGGCCATGTCATCCACAGATGATCTGTCGTACATCGAGCATGTCTTCGAGATCACGAGGCGACCAGACCTGCTGACCAAGATCCTGGAGTACCGAACACAAGTCCTGAAAATCTCAGACGACGAGGAGCTAGACTCCAAACTCACTCGAGTACCAAGTGCCAAGAAATACAAAGGTAGGTATGATGTCTACTATAAACATAATCCCACCATGTAACATGGCATATCCACCACCCTGAAAAATGTGTCTTTAGAGATCAAAACAACATTTTCTTTATGACTCCAGCATATCTAAATTGTGCATTCCTGAGGGATGCTGCACTAGAGATCTCTCAAACACTGTTTTTCAATGTTTTCAATGTTTTCAATGTGGCGGATAATGTATATGTAGCCCAGCAGATAAATGTGAATGGAGTTAAGATGGATTTGGGAGAACTCCAATGGACTTTTCAGTACCTTCCATCCTTTGGTTCTTCAGCCTTCTCCTTACCTCCTCCTTCAACTATGCCCATTAACATTGAGAGAACATTCTGTCAGCCATTTCATCGTTTTCTCCAAAATGGAATCAGATGCCATTTCAGAACACATGGATCTGTGCCATAATGGAGATTTTGTCTATGGTTTGATGCATTGTCGTTGGCGAGAAGCCAATTTTCACAGGCTTAGGCAGCACCACAACTATTTCAAGTTAATTTCTACTAATGCCTCAATGAACAACATTCGCAGATCAATCCTTGTCTCTATTGCTGAACAATATTCACACATCCATCTCTGTCCCTGGTACTGAACAATATTCACACATAAATCCCTGTTCCTGATGCTGAACAATATTCACACACCCATTCCTGTCCCTGGTGCTGAACAACATTCACACATCCAATCCTGTCCTTGGTGCTGAACAAAATACACAAGAACAAGACACAACCACGTACAAAATTTCAAACTATCCATAGATTACTGAATTACTTTGTTAAACATCATCTTACCAAAGGGAATAAGCTTGGTACCATTACAGAATAAGCAGACTCTGCAATGACATATCATTGATATCTGCTGCCATCTTTTGATAGAGTGCTACAATTTCCACTCCCTAATGATTCCTTGTTATCTCTAACTTTACAACAGATAAGGACATGGATGAAAAAGGCTCTGCCTTGGGGATGAAAATATTTTGCATATGATTTCAAACCAGTATCCTATCTGCAAGTATAACTGATGTGACCAATTTCATATGGTGTTTTACCCAACAGATCTGATATCCAAGGATCACCTGGGGGTATTAGAGGATGGCAGCATCAAATTGGACCCACCTCCCTCCAAGAAAGGACCATAATGAGGCTGGAAGTCTTGTCAATGTGACTGACTTTTGGAACCACTGCAATCAAGACACTGTCTGATGCCTATTACACAGATGGATGTTGACAAGAGCTGGCTTCTTCTTGTAGGAATCGCCATGGGTTTCTTAGATCCTCTTCTCATTAACGTTCCCATAAGACAAGGCAACAATTTGTACCCACCTGCAGCTCAGTTTACAGAAAATCTTCGAAACCTGCAATTATGGATGCTTTCTATAACCTCTGTCTGCTGGGTTACATATATATCTGCCACCTTGAAAAACATTGTATTTAGCCTAGTAGGAAATCTCTATTGCAGCAACACCCAGGTATGGACAGATTAGATATGCAGGACTGCATTATACTGAAGGATGTTGTATTGGAAATCTCATTTTTTTCAGGGTGGCGGATATATGTGACCTAGTAGATGTTTCATGCAGCCCAGGCTCAATGTTTTGTGATAAATCACTACTCACACTCACTATCAGGTACTGAAATTCCTGTGTGGCCGTATGAATTCACTTACAGTGTAATTACCTTCAGGCTTCAGCTAGAGAGGAGTTGGTTCTGTCTTGCCAATTTTGTGCCTGCTAGACAAGTGTAACTGTGTCCTGGAAAACTGCACAATTTACTTAATTCTATTGGCTTAGGTCTGTGAGTGTGTGTTTGCAATATATACAATGCAGCATTGCCCTACACTGTCAGAGCTGCTATGTCTGTTTGTAACTGGAAGAGAGGCAAAGCAGTGAGGGTAAGAGGATGAAGTCTGCCATCTCTGATTGCCTTGTTGTATGTGAGTAGGTGTCACATCAAGTATTTTAGTTGACACTCAGTTTTTAATTGCAGATGTGGGTTGAAGTAATGCAAGACTGTGTATAATTATGATCTTGATCAACTTCACTGTTAAAATTGTTTGATTGTATTTAAAAAAACACAATATGAAAATATTATAAATTTTAATATTAGGTGGGAGTGTCACAAGTGTGGCAGTGGTAACATTGGTGAAGTTGTGATGTGATTATGCAGCAAATTACTGTAAATGTTAGATGATGAGTGAGATTGAGTGAGAATAAAGTACACGTACTACATAACTTAGTATCATAAGCTTCCTGATGTTTAACCTTTGAGAACCTTGAGCACTTGTGGTCAGGCTAGTCTAATGACATTTGAATGACTGTTTTAGTATATGCTAAGTCTAGGTCTAGTCTTGGCAAGGTATTTGCAGAGTAGTTCACTAAATGGTAAGTGTATGTAGTACAGTGCTACCCATTACCAGTATTGTCTGATTTACAAATGTCATCTATCTTACAAATGTGTGGACAGGGCCAAATGTTTAAGACATGGGAAGAAAGATCAGAACTAATATCACATTTTTAATGACTGCAAAGTCACCTGCATATGGGAAAATGAACTGACATGAATGACTATCAGACTACATGTGATTTTGACAACTCAAGAAAAGCAAAGTATTTTAGACATTACCCTATAAAGGGAAAAGATCTGTTTCTATGAATGATTGTAATAGGCTGTGTGACAGTGATTATCATTGTTTTATGATAAGCACGTTACATGTAAATTCTACATGTCAGCCAAAAGCAAATTGTATATTTTGACAATGAAAATCTAACATGGAGATGAAATATGTGGATAATTTGTATGATTATTAAGAGATGATAAGAAATGCTGATATTTCAAGGGCTGACACATCCAGATATAGAAGCAAGTGGAATTTTTATCAACGAAGAAAGAGCTTAGGTGCAAATTTGTAATGTAGAGGTGATAACTGATGGTAGTATGGAGCTGATAAACGATGGAAGTATATAGCTGATAACTGATAGTAGTATAGAGTAGGTAACTAATGGTAGTATAGAGTAGATCACTGATGGTAGTATAGAGCTGATAACTGATGGTAGTATAGAGCTGATAACTGATGATAGTATAGAGCTGATAACTGATGGTAGTATAGAGCTGATAACTGATGGTAGTATAGAGCTGATAACTGATGGTAGTATAGAGCTGATAACTGATGGTAGTGTAGAGCTGATAACTGATGGTAGTATAGAGCTGATAACTGATGGTAGTATAGTGCTGACAATTGATTGTAGTATAGAGCTGATAACTGCTGGTTATAGAATTGACGTTATTGTGAAGATGATAACTGATAGTGTGTAGAATCGGTAACTTATGGTAGTATAAACCTGAAGACAACTGATGTGTTTTTCTTCAGCTCCTTTTGTCTTTCTTGTGGAGCTGATCTTGTAATAGCTAGTGATGTAGAAATGATGATACTAGTAACCTATGGCTTGATAATGGTTGTGTACATGTAGATTTGATGAATATCACACCCTAACATCATTGTGCACCATGATGATAATACATTAGTATCAGAATTACATAATTTCCACTTTGAACAAATATAACCGTTACCAACTGTAAGAATTCAAAAAGCCAAGAAGACAACAGTTGTTAGAAGGACTGGTAGTGTGAGAAGGTGAGCTTGTTTTGCAATTTTATCTGACGAGAATGTTTAATTTCTGTCTGGTCAACTGTTAGATTAAAGGAGATATATTTGAGTAAGATTCAGGCAGAGGCCAGATTGGAAGAGTAGCAATGAAGGAAGGTGACAGAGATATATGCACTAGAAGAAGTGATGGTAGAAGCCAGTGATTGTGTCAGGCATTTTGGAGCAATGTGTAGAGTTTGAAGTGTATGGTAGAGGTAGACTATGGCAGTGGAGTGGTCTGTAGAGATGTACTCAGTCTAGTACTTTCTACCAATAGATGAAATGTACCAACAGAAGGCTATGTCATGTTGTGATTTTTCAACCTCTTCTGCGCCTTAACATGTACATGTCAGACCTTAATGGGTACATTGCACTTAACACCTAACACTTAAAGCACTTAAGGTAAGTTGGGAAACAGGTGACATTTTTCAATAGATACTAAGTTTAGGAAGTAAACAAATGCATCAACTCTGAAGCAGGCACATGAAGTAGTATAGGGTTGAAAGGTAGCAGCAGGCTAGCATTTTTTGTTGGAAACATTGGAAGAGGGATTGATGATTTTTGTCAATGATGGGCATCTGAAAGTTGTTGAGCCCCCTAGAAATGTTAGTATTATGCAAATGCTTTGTTTTTCAACATACAGTAGTCTCCCTATGTGTTATCAGTAGAGCTCCGTACTTTAGTCCTCCAAGTAGGCGCTAACGTTATCATTGGCATCATCATCTGTGGTATAGAGCTGACCAGCCATCAGTGTTTTCATGTTTTGGAATGGGTGAAGTCCATGAGGGACAAGTTGGAACCCAGTCACGAATTGTTGCCATTGCCTCCACACAGGTGTCTGCAGGAGCAGTGTCAGGTGTTGAAAGATACACAAATGTATGTTATACTTTCATGTCATAAAGAGCAATCAATAAATGCACTGCTAGATCATGGCCTTGTTTCTGCTTGTACTGCTGTTTCCTGCTAGGGAACCTGGGAAGATTAATTATAACATATATATATATTGTATGTTTATGTGTGTTGCTATGGTCCATCTGTGACCAAAGGCAAATAAATAAAGACTCACTAGCACATGTGTGTATTCATGACATCATTACTAGTATATTGTACTGTTGTTTGAATAAAGATCAATATAAAACCTTCTCTAGCATGTTACAGGTGGTAGCAGTTAGTGTACAGCAAACAAAAACCACATTCACCCAGAACATGGAATAGAACAATGTAGATATCAGAAATACATAATTGTACATGTTCCTGCACAACTCCAATTTTACCTGCACTAACCTGCAGATACAGGTACGATTTCGAGCCCTGCAATCTCATATAAACACTACTATTTCCATTACTTTTAGAATAAACATATGATTTTCATATCTCATTCCTCTGCAGACTGCACATGATTATGTAGTGAGAGTAGGTTAATATTCTATGCTGCCTTCACAAGGCCACACCAATTCAATTGTTGGTTCTTGCCTTCTTGGATTAAAAAAAATTACTACTCAACTGGACCAGGTCTGAACAGCACAATGAATATGAGAATAGAGTCAGAGTCTGTCCCTTGCCTGAGTTGCCAGGTTCATGCAGTATCAGGCAGGGAGATAGCATAGAATATCATCAAAGTTTCAAAGTGAAACACAAAGGGGTGAGTAGCACAGTCTTCTGTCCCCCGGGATTTTAAAATTGCCAAAACTTCGGAAGGATTGCAGGGTCTATGTTTTCTTTTCTTCTTCATAAGGTTTGAAGCCTTCTGTCTGCAGCTTTTCCTTGTATTTGTCATATTCCCTCTTCCGAAGAAAATATTTTACCTGCAAAAAAAAAACAACATTATGTGCAGGCTGGACAGCTCATCATAATTCATTCAGTGACAAAAGACAATAATTTCAAGTGCAGGTATGCAGAATACTTGTAAGTTGTATTTCAAACCATGCGTAATACATTTTGTCACATTGGGGTAAAGTGACGATGCAGAGTCGAGAGTTGTATATGAGATGTCCTTTATTTCCACAACCACAACCTTCCCTGACAGTGTCTTCTGGTCATCTCCCCCTTCCCACGGTGCTAGCCCTCTTAGGGGACCCGCAAGCCCTTTTCTGTAGAGCGTAATTGGCTGTTTTAATTCTACGTAGAGCGTAGAAGGACCGCTGTAATATTTTTGCGTAGAGCGTATTCGGCGTTTTAATTCTACGTAATGCGTTTTATCCAGTTGGAATTTATCGTAAAGCGTAATCAAGAGGTTTCCAAATTCAGCGTAGAGCGTTGTCGGGACCCCCCCCCCCTTGCAGGCCCTCCTCTTATACCCCCCTGGTACATCTGGTTGTAATCTACAATCTAAAGATAGAGGGCTAAGGGACAGCCCACGGGTCGCAAATTGGAGCTTCTATGGCCCTGGATCTTCTCTGGTATACTATCCCTTTATTTCGGCCCATTTCTACTATTTTTCCAGCGATCCACGGTGCCTGGTAGAGGCTAGACAGCCCCTAGCAACAGCGGACATCTGTGTCCCCAAAGACAATCTGGGTCCGAGTCACCCGTGACAATTTACACAACTGTTACAGTATTGCAACATACCCATGTGTTGGAGCAGCAACCTTCAAACTCCTGTCGAAGACTCTGGCACTTCGCTGCATTCTCATCATTCTGTTCTAAACAAGCAAAGAAGCGGTCTCTGGAGTCCCAGCATTTCTGTCGCTGTTGCTGATTGGGTGGCATAGCTCACATGGAAGTCCCTTGTACCCCAGATGGGTGGCTTTGAAAGGACATTTGTATAAAAACACGAATAACTAGACTATAAATAAACAAAAGGCAATGATATATATTATTAAAAGTGGCTCAGCTATGAGTGGAGTAAGATAGCTATAAATATATAATTGGACAACAAAGTATCATTGTTTTATCATACTGGGAGGCCAGAATAAAGCGAAGTCATGATTAAGACTGCGCATGCCCTGTGTTAAAAGTGAAGGCTTTTATTAATCAGAAAAAATGAAGGGGGTTGAATAATAAAACCTCTTTGGTATTTTATATTTCCTATTAAAACTAACCCCCCCCCCAGCGCAATTATGACCAATGAAAAAAACTTTACCAGAACGCTTTATTTTCGTATCTCATCATTTTGCATGCGATCAAAGAATACTGATAATACGATCTTCGTTGAACTCTTACCTGGAAATACTGGAATAGTACTGACTGGTCTGACACGGTCTAACTAGTGACCAGTTTTTGTTACGTCCGTTCAGAAGAGGTCAAACACCCACTATAGCTGACCTCGCCTTTTTACATGTCTCATAACCTTTGTAGAACGCCACAGAAAACAAATAGAGCAATTATTGAAACACATTTCAGATTTGATGCAGGGTGTCTACGTTATTGATAGTGAAAGGGCAGTATATATGTAGTTTGCCTGCTATTTTTCTAGCTGATAATTTTTTGCGAATGCGCCAAGTTTGAAATATTTCAGGAAGGTGAATCAGCCTTGGTTGGCGGATGAATATTTTGATGACAACGGTAAGTGAGAGCAAACTCCAACATGGCGGTTCGGGGATGTGAGTGGAAAGATTCTACTAAAATTTGGGTTAAAAATTGTTCTACAAAGCCGTGAAGAGTAGACGGATGTTTCTGTGGAGTTTTTCTGTATTTGTGACAGTACAGGTGGCCTTAAATGATGTCAGACTCGTCGGTAATTGGTAAAGAACAGGCCGTTCCTTGCAACATGGAGGTTGTGGGAGAGGGAAGTATGGTCGAGAAGTGGGAGGGCGACGGCAACAACTGTGTATGTAAGCCGCCAAACGGTGGCGAACTTCAGGCCAAAAATAACACCAGACTGAATGGCTGTGTTGTGGCAATACCGGAGGAAAAGGACGCCTTAGGGAAACATGCAGTTGTTGGGGGGACGAAATCAGCGGGGTCAACAGACAACAACAGACACGAAGTCAACAGTGAGGAAAGTACTGTGGCAGAAGCCATGCTGTCTCTCTCGTTGCAAGATGGGTCAAGGGATGACAGAACGAAAAGACGCCCAGAAAAAGCAGTTTTGGATAGAGTGGATGACCCTGTTGTGGTTGAGGAGGATGGAGTGTTATCAGGAAGGGAACTTCAGATTGAAAAGATTTGGTCCTCCGGCTCTGACCAGCTGGAGGCTGCTGCTGCTGAGGATGGAGATGGGGAGGACCATGTTAGCTATGTTAGTTACCAATCAGAACTGCAGATGCCAGACATCATCAGGCTCATCACAAAAGACCTTTCAGAACCATACTCCATATACACCTACCGCTACTTCATTCACAATTGGCCCAAGCTATGCTTTCTGGTAAGTTTCTATTTTGGTGTTCTTGCAAAATTTATGTGAGGGCCTACACGTAATGGAGTGTTTCACTGTCAGAAGGATTGATGTTGATGTTGTTTTGCCATCAAGGTGTACGTAATCACAGGCTGCTACGAGTACTGTACAGTTAGTTACTGTCAGCAGCAAACTTAAGCCTATAAGGATTGTCATTATTTACTTTTGACTAGAGTAAGCGAATCCCAGATGATGGCAGGTCAACTTCAAAATCTGTAAAGCATAATGTTTGGTAAAATGTTCACATTGATGTTGAATGGTTGAATCCTCCATTCAGTGAACCCCAGCAACATGTGTATAAGATGTAGTAGATGATAATGTAACAGTACAAACAGTCATTTCCTGTACTACTGTAGTCACATCAGTCTGACTGACTTACTACTTGTCACAGGTTAATCAGTCATCCGCAGGCAACTAGATCTGATGCTGGTCACAGGTGCTTCAGGGAAATCTGTCTCTGATGTGACAGTGAAAAAGTGTGACTGTCTTCCCATTCCATTGACAATATTCTGTCTAGAAATGGTACATGATCCATGAGGACTGAGCAGAGTAACGTATAACCTTAGGTTTAAGAAGAGTTATACTTTTAGCTAGTGTAGGGGAATTGCTTTTGTGTTACCGGTTTTACAGTCGGTATTATATATATATGTATACTTTTTTTTTCCCCAGGCCATGTCAGGAGGAAGGTGTGTTGGAGCTATCGTGTGCAAGCTGGACATGCATAAGAAAATGGTTCGCCGGGGCTACATTGCCATGCTAGCTGTGGATGAGAACTATAGGAGGAAATCTATTGGTTTGTACTGCAGTGGAAATTTATACTGTACTTGTCACTTCTAGTTTATGAGATAATGCGTAGAAGCAGATGGTATTTGGAATTGCAGGTAAAATTTTGACAGTTTGCAATGTTGCAGGTGCACTTCAAGTGGAGGAAGTTGGAGGCTCCCAATTATATGTTTGAATACTAACATCTGACCTGAGTGTCATCCTAGTTCATTTACCACATCCTCCCGTGGCAGGGTCGGCGGCGCGGTATTCTATATACCTTACAACCAACCCTGCCATTTTACGCCCAGTTTTCTACTCCAGGTAACGTGTTCTCTACATATTAATGAGCTTGCCTTATTTGGCACAAGCCAATCAGCGCCAGGATCACATAAATTCAAGATGGCGGACGTAAATACTGTCACCACTGTCTCGGCTTGGCTGCGTTCATACCTAAACAAGTCGCCTTCAGGCCCATCAAGCTCAGCTTGTCACATTGAACTTTCATTATCGCATTCAGTGGACTCACTACACTATAATGAGGTCATCTCCAAAGGGCCACGGATGCTGGACTCGTCGCTCTTGAGTTGAGTAGACCGTAGCTCCGTCGCTGCCTGCTCGATCTGGCTGCGGCTTGAAAGCTCATGTAACACAGGCTTTTCCGTCCGCCGGTCCTAAGGAACACGTTTCGGCCATGAAGTAGTCCCTGTAGCGTGGTTTTCTGGTGTTCACGAGCTCTTTGACGCCAAAAAAAGTCTTGCACGACTGAGACAACATAATGCATTACCAACTGCCATTTTACATGAAACCCAAAGAGGCGATGTAAGACGTAACATGATTGGCTCTCGGATAGCTTTGCCCAACTGAAAGCTATGTCTCTGATTGGCTGACAGCTACTCGTAGGCTACGTCATCTGGAGTAGAAAACTGGGCGTAAAATGGCAGGGTCGGTTGTAAGGTATATAGAATACCGCGCCGCCGACCCTGCCACGGGAGGATGATTTACCAAGGCTCCTGTACTCCCCTCTGGGTAGTTGGAGTAAAGGCCATTAGGAACCACAGTAAACTAATTAGGAATGCATCCAGACTAATGGACATCATCTTTATTCTCATACAAGTTGACTTGAGTCCTTTTCTGTCCTGACTTGTTTAGGTTCTACTCTTGTGAAGAAAGCCATCCGTGCCATGACTGATGATGATTGTGATGAGGTATGTTCATCAGTACACTGTACAGTAAATGTTTAATTAGAACTTGTTGTAGCAAAATAACTTGATGTAACTCTTTTAAAATGTCATATCTTTTGAAACAGAGGTGGAAAAATACTTCATGCAGGTTAGTTCATGTAAAATTAGAGTTATGCCGTTATTTCTGATGCCTAATTGCACTGATCCATGATAAAACCAGCTGGAACAGTTATGTAGCATTCTTATTTCTTTTATTTTTGCAGGTGGTGTTGGAGACTGAGATCACAAACAAGCCTGCTCTGAGGTTGTACGAGAACTTGGGATTTGTGAGGGATAAGAGATTATTTCGATACTACTTGAATGGTGTGGATGCTCTGCGGCTCAAGCTCTGGCTGCGATGAGAACGGGATGACACCCTTTGTTATATTGCTGTTTGTGGGAAAGTAGAATTATAGTAGCTTTGTGCTCATGTTCTGTATAATTGTCACAGTCTGGTGTCATTGCACCTCATGATCAGTTCTATCTGGATTCTCTGGTCTGATTCGAAGCAAAGTCCTTTGAACTTGTATTCATTTTGTGTGGATAAAATGACAAATGTAGTCGTTAACACTTTACTGTTATGATGTCAAGTACAACTCTGTTGGCTAAAGTAATATTGTTACTGGTAATCAATATCTCATGTTATTAATGAATTGTTAATGTATGTGTCTCAATTCCACAAGTACTTCTTACTTAGTGAGGTTTTTATAATCTATGTGTTATGAAAAGGAACTAATGAAACAAATGTGAATTACTTGTGAGAAGTTGGTGATGGATGAACTGATAAATGCCTTGAAATTAGCAAGAAAATTAAAAATTGCTTCTTATATTCAGTGACTCTTTGACACTAGTAGCACCAAATAAAAAAATAAGGCTGGACTTGGATGCATTAAAAGTTTGTTATGTCTTTTAATCTCCATTTTGTGTCAGATACAACTTTTGATTCTAATCCTGTCTTGGAGTACATACAGAAAACATGGTAGTATTATGTTTGTGAATTATCATGATGACTGATAAATTGTCATGAAGTGGAGTCATTGCAAAAAGTAGCAAAGTATTAACAGGGTATAATGTCAACATGAATTGATAGTAGTCTTCAAGTTTTCTAGTTTGGGTAAGGCCACACCAATTTAATTTGTTGGTTCTCGGATTCGCCTCTTCATTTTTTCCTGATTTGACAAAAAAAAAAATTATTCAGAATCAACTGCAAAATGCTCATATTTTGCCCTGAACAGTTGAAAACAGTCCTTTTCTTCCTAGTCGTTACAGTTATTCCATCTTTCAATGCAGTGGTATCATTAGAAGTTCAAAATTCATTGTTTAAATTTTGAACCAGCCTTTTGTGTTGACTTCATGGCTCATTTCGTAGCATTTAAGCCTATAATAGGATGCCTAGATCTGTTTTTATTTTTATTTTTTTTCGCCCTGTCGCTTCATATTTTTTCTGAAAAAATCCGAGAACCAACAAATTAAATTGGTGTGGCCTAATGTACAATATTATCATTGTGTGATATTGTTTATTAACGTGCAGACACATTGGTGTTCAGACAGCTGTAAGTTGTTCTGTTTCAAGTTTCTGTTGACTGTAATAGTGGAACAGCATGAAGTAAGCTGTGTGAAAAGTACCAACCTTCACATCAGAGTTTGACCTGACAGTGTCCGTGTGAAATGATTTGATACCACAGAAGATCTTAGTTATGCTCAATTGGAAATAAAACACTCCTCTTGGAAACGACTGCCGGTAGATTCAAGGGCCAGTCAAAAGTAGTATTATCTTATATTAGATGGTACTGCTGCATTGGTCGCTGACACACAAGTAGACATCAAATGAAGCTGTACATCAGAGAAACACATTCCTATTTCTCTACATGGTCACCACCTCACAACCATAGTCATGTTC